CGTACTGAAAAAAAACGCTGCTCATTTGAGGTCCAGATATAAACTCCAATGTTGGACAAAGCGGCGGGTACCAAAGGGCAACGGTGAGGCTAGGCCTGAGGCTTCCGCAAGGCTTTGGCTTTCAGTGATCCTTACAGGAGGTGATATGGTGGTATATATATACAGGGTTATATAGGGAATATAGGGGAATGGAAAAAGCAAATGGAAACCACTATTACTATCATTAAGTGGAAAATCGTAACTGAGAACTGGGTTATGTCAGGGCTTTTCTTGGGGTATATACAGGGGAACTGGCAGAACACATCTGATGTTAGCGGGGGGTAAACTGTCCCAATGCACTGATGAAAAGGCTTTGCACCTAGGCGCAGGTGTCTGCTTGGTTTAAGTTAAGGTCTCAGGTTCCTCGCATGGACGGCGTTCAGGGTCTAGGGTTCAGTAGAAATCCTGCATCAGGATTATCCAAAGCACTTTGATTCCCTAGATTTCTCATATGTGTAGAGGGTTGTGCGCAAGACCCTCTCCGTGCAGGATAAAGCTGCAAGCGTGATGAGTATGACCTACTGTCACTGTTGAGGTCCATCGTCCATAAGTGGCGCTTGGTGAAGGCTGGCTTGTGGCAGAGGAGTTCTAGGATTGATGTTTGGCAGTATACAGAGATGATAGCAAGGTTGCGTGAGGACTAGAGGGGCTATTAGACAGCATGCGTTGCTGAATTGTTGGGCTCACTTTTGAAAATCGGAGCTGAGACTCTCGGTATCTGCTAGCTGCCTGCATCCTGACCCAAGGCATCAGGAAAATGTGAGCAGCAGCCGCCGACAGATAAGCAGGTTTGCTGGAAACGCGCGTTTCCAGAGTAGAGTCTGAAGTTAAGTTTAAGAAGGCTTCATGCAGTCAAAAAAGCATCGCTTGCGTGCGCTGAGATGATTCACAGCATGGTAAATGGTCCTACAACTTCGCTACTTCCCAAAACTAGTGCTAGAAGAGCAGGTAACAAACCCAAAGTGTCTGGGCGTATCTTTGTCTGAGTCGACTCGGTTACTTCCCAGCAACCGACCCGAGAGGCCCTCGACTCTGCATCTTATCTGGCTAATCTGCCCCTCGGCTGGAGAAGTCAATCCTTTTCGGCCCAGCCTAAACCTGTGGTTTCAAATGCTCTGGGTACGTTGGATGCTCCCTTCAGCCTCTGCAATCTCTACACTCTACACTTTGCCACCCTACCTCGCACGGCACTGCGATGTCCGCAAAAGCTGTGCTTGTTGCGACCATCCCTGTTTTCTGGCCTGGAACAGAAATTATGTAGAATCCTGTGTGGGCTCTAGATGCAATCCATCTTCTTCAACATGTCGAATCTGATTTCTAGGTCAAGCCGCAAACTTGTAAACGACCTGGACCCTGAGACCCTGGCCATCTCGTGCGCAGAAACTGAATCATGAAAAGGTTCCAGATGTGAAAAGAATTCACCTCACACAGTTGGGTGTACGGCTTGGGCTTTGCCGGGTTCAAGGGGGGAACTATGGAAATACGTGCTTGGATAGACTATCAGGACTCCTATAAGAAAGGGTCGCTCTTTCTGGAGGCCACCCAAAAGGATGCCAACAGTTTCAGAAGCTTGTGAGACATAACGTCGCTGTTGACGACTGGCACAAGAACTCCTAGGAATGTTACGCAGCATCTTTGTCACTCAGACAGAGGGGATTAAGACAGGAAATCTCTACCACAGCCCGAGAGTAGCTTGAATGAATACGTATCCTTGGGATTCAGTTCGTGCAATACGCCCGATAGAAAAAGTGAGCCTTCAATTCGTTCTGTGTTCTCAGAAATGCCATACTCTACAAATGTAAATCATACGTAGGGTCCCAAGGGGTTCCCACGCATTTCAACCCCCAAAATAAGTAGCCCCAAATAAGCACTAAAGAAGCCTTAATAACCTCCAACACGTCCTGAGCAGTCCCAATCCCTTCTTCTGGGGGTTGTTATGTGGGGGCTCTCCCTTGGAACCCTATCAGAAAAGGAGCCGAATGACAGCTAGGCAGATTCCTCGTCCTCTCCTTAACATATCCAACTACTCAGCTCTTAACAGATAGGACTTCCCACATTGTGAGGCCTTAGCGAAGAGGTTGTCGCTGTATTGGGAGATTGCATCTGAGAATGGATAGACGGAGTTGATGTCATATCCCAAGTACGTGGATTGCAGGGCTTTGTGAGCTGGGTTGGGGTCGAATGTTTGCTCTTCGGCTTTGCTCAGACGAACCTAGTTCTGAGAATGAGAAATGGCGGTATCTCAAGAAGAAGATCGACAAAGAACCAGTGATCATTATTAGAACCATCAGGCCATCACCAGCACCAGCACCATGATAATCACTCTCATCTGAGGTGATGGAGCATCACGTTAAGAATAGACTGGAACTATTTGAGCTATTTCAAAAACTTCATGAGAAATATTCAGACTTTTCTGGGGTCTTGAAAATGCCCCGCCCCAAGCCAACACCTGACACTAAGTAATGTTGGAGTCCTCTTCAGCGTGTTTCGTCTTTGGGGTCCCGGCAGAATCCAGACCAGACCCCTTAAATCAATCCCCAGAGGCCTCAGCACTCTAGGCTTTAAGAAGCAACTCATTTTGGCACCACTATCGTTCTGCGGGGTCTATGGAATTTGAAGCGGATCCTACCTTATGTCCTTTTGAAGCGGATAGCTCAGCCTATACAAGGGGAAACCTCTACATGGTCACCAAAATGGCGGTACACATAGGTCCCATTTTGGTTAGGATACCCCTTCAAGGAAATGTATTCTCAACGGCCCCTTCTCTCCAGGACCTGTAGATCAACTCCGGCATAAGAAAGATACCCTGAAAGAGCGTCTTGGAAATCTTCCAAACAATGGAGGTCTGGAAGGTGAGAAGCAGAGTCATACGGCGGGTCGAGGAAGACCACCCTAGCGCATGTCATTAGATTCTGTGAGCCCTTCTTCAAATCAGCGCTCTCAAAAATTCGGGCTTGTTCATGTGCTGTGTGCATCTTTGGGGATGTTCCATTGAATTGAAGCCTCGGTGTTTCTGGGTCTGATGGCCTGGCTCTCCTGCCGTGCGGTGTAAAGCCGCTTAAAACACACTTACGACACGTTGCGCCTCTTTGTATAGCAGAGGCGTGAGGAAGCTCCTAATTCAACCCTACTTGGCCAACTCACAATGCAGGCCTTTCACCTTGATGATCCTGTAGTATTAAACAGAACGCTGGTGGGTTAGTAGGGATTGAAGGCAGGTGTGGTAGGCTCAGGGCGTGCCATTGTTTGGTCATCGCTGAAGCACCAGCGCGTTTTCTGCCACAACATGCATGTTGTTTGTGAAGGAGTGCGTGGCGTAGCTGTATGCTGGGCAAGGATGCTTTGAAAGCCAGGCGCATTTTGCTAGTTCGAACTCCAAGTGGAGGGACAAGCATGGGAGCCCCGTGATGATACGTACCTCATGATGCCTCTGCATGCCTCGTTCTGGGCAGTACACCTATAGTGTTGGAGATCGTGTAGGGACCACCATAGGCCTATAGGGATCCATTCCCATTCCCTGGTAACCACCAATAAGACTAGGAGGGGACCCTGTGCCGAGGCCGAGCCCTGAAACAGCCACAAAGGATTTCTCTACATCTTTGGCTCTCCCAATCATTGGCATCCCTAATACCGCAAAGGTGCTCTTGACTGAAGACTTTTGGCAACTATGACAAACCGAGGCGAGGCCTAAAACACGACACCTGTCCTCTCCACCTTGGGCTTGGGCTATTCCATTCCGAGACCTTGAGCCTGTAGCGGTGAATGGGTGAATGGTAGCATGACCCAGGCGCCAACTGAGGCTGGGGACCTGCCTGACTAGCACATCTGAGGTAACTACTTATGGGGCACCTCTTCAGGTGTCTGTATCAGGCGCAAGGCAACCCCAAAGGCAGCGCAAACCCCTTAACTTCAACCCCCACTCACAGAGGCTGAGCCGAGAAACCCTTTGTTGCCGAAGAGAGAAACTTCCTGCTGCAGCAGCCAGCGATACGAGTCAGCGCAAAGCCTGCCGGCGTCGGAGACGAAACCTAAAAAGAATGGGAAGCATACTGCTCACTGTGATAGCAGGTATGGCGAACCCTACAGCAAACGCACTATGCATAGTTCAGTGGCAGTACCAATGGTGATCTGTGGACTGTTCCAGTTGTTCCGCAAGTCCTGGGCCGCAGTCGCCGTAGAAAGCTATGATCCCGATAAACCCGCGGAATTCTGTGCAATGGCAAACTTTCAAACCTCAAATCTCTGGCGCTATGTTGCCAGTTTCGTCTCCAGATTGGAAATCACAAGTTCCGGCAGCTTGCACAACATGACAAAGATCCTAGGTACCAGGAGAGGGGCGCGGCCCTCTTGGTAGATCTGATCTGCTGCTTGGCATGTAAAGCCCCTGAAGCAGAAAGCGTTGTAAGACGCTCAATTAAAGTATTTGCGCGGTGGGTTAGGAACCTAGCATGCAGTTTTTGGGGATCAACAAAAGGCGTTTTAAGGTGCTCAATTATTTTGGGCAAAGCCTGCCCGGGGATGCGGAATAAGGAAAGCATTGGTTGCTGGATTTTCACACGTTGCTGTGGATTTTGGGGAAATTCCCTAAAAGCTGGACCGTGTTCTGAAATCTGAGGGGCCCTGACCAAATCATACCGAAGAACATACTTTCAGGAGCATGTTGGAGTGGGGTCTCGCGGCATCTCGCGGCCACAGTGGAGCAGTTGACACTGCAGCAGCTAGCTCAGAAATGACGGTCTGAGGTGTTTCTGCAAAAGTGCTTGGATTGTATTGCAGTATGCTACCTAGAACTACAGGTCAGGTGCTGGCCTGTAAACAGCCGGGTGACAAACTGACCTAAAGTTCCTTCCCGGTCACTTGACCATGATCGACCCGCAACAGAGAAGACTCCCTCCGCCTAGCTCCACACGCCCTTCCAATGCATGCAAGCTGCATCTGGACGTCCTTCCTTTCAAGGGGGCCTGTCGCAGATTTTATGATATGTGTTTTGAGACTCGAGGTTAGCTCTCGATATCATTCGACCGCCATTTGACCGCACATCAGAGTTCTCCTGCTGCCTTTGTCTGCTGGTAGTTGGTAAGCCATGGAATGTAAGGGCTGTTGTGAGGCCTTCTACTGTTAGTGCCATACTGTGAGCAATTCCTCCGTTCGTTACTAACCAGCAGGAAGTTTGCTCGTGAAGCACCATGTGGAGCTGATAAGGTTTGGCGGCGGCCTCTATACATTGCAACAGTCATGTAAGAAAGGCTAGGAAGGGTATGGCAAAATTCTGTTACCGTTTGAATCCAAACATCCTCCAGCAGTCCTTCACTGAGCAAACCACAACTGGCAACATGTGGTATGCTTTTTGGGAGCCTTCACCGTCATGGTCTTGTATGGGGTTGAGGTCTCATGACATTCTACAGGGCTCCCGTTCTCAAGCAGATGACAGACTGTCAGTCACATCAAACTTGAGTGGCAGTATATTGCACAGCCCCTGTTCTGTGCAACCCCGTGACATGCCTTGTCTACTTGTTCGCCTGACGAATTAACGTCTTAAGGTGAAATAAGGGCACGTACTTCGGGAAAACTAAAGTCCCGCAGCAAACGCCAGCAGGTGGCTCTAGAACAGTTGTTGGCCTTCAAGACACTTTAGCGGTTAGGGTGTAGGAACAAGCCTTGAGAATCCTACATGTACCTGTTGATTCCCCAAGAGGCTGTGTCATGGAGCGAGACGATGTGGCATCGCCATGCAATGCAGAGCTAGTTCTCCAGGGATCCAGCACAGCCACAACCTGGAACAATTAGAAGCCCCACGCCAAATTGCTCCGCTATAGGGGGTCAGCTAGCAAGCGAAAGAAGGATAGCGCCTGAAAATGAGCCACGAAATCACTCCGCATCATTTCTCCGATGCGACCCGGGAACGAATTCAGGGTCTTGATTCCCGAATCGGAATTGTCACCCTCAACCCTAAGCATTGAAATGAATACCCAGAAAACGCAACCCTGCCGAACCCCGAGTCTCAATAAAGCCCCAGGATTTCTCAACCCTGTGCCCCCTCCTTGCAGTAGCTCGATATTGCGAAGAAGGTCTTCATGAACAGCAGGGTAGGCGTCCAAAAGCAGAACCTCAGAAGTTTGCTTGGAGCAATGAAGAGCTTTCAGAATTGTATGAGCACCACGGCGACTGCCGGAAAACTTGAACCACTTAGAACCCCCCCAATCTTTTCCAGGGTATCGCGAAAGGATATTCGTGGTGGCATAAGCATCCCTACATCCACAGTGTGTCGCAAAACGTTAGCCAAAGAGGACCCTACGAATGCGTGGTGGATTGCGCAGGGTGCCTGTGCACCAAGTAAGGTGTGTAATCTCGGATATCCTGCAAGCCTCAGTAAGTTGGAGACTTACCCTGTTAGGAATCCTAAGTTTCTACCGTGGCAACAGTAGCCGCTCATCTAACAACCATAAGGGTTTACCAAGCGGCTCATGTATGATGCCATTTTTGCTCTGTTATGGCGTTGCGTAATAGATTCCATTCTGCTACCCAAGAAGGGAAGAGATAAACTACATCAGAGCCTCTGGGTAGGTGTTTGATTTTTTGGCAACATCATATACCCGCTCATGAAGCCTGGAACCCGGGGCCCACCATGTCACAGTCACACGTTACATTTTATCAGAGTAGAACAGTAGGTACACAAGAGAAGTCCACAGATGCTACCGTAAAATCTTATAAGCCTTCTCACGCAGTCTATCCATGTAAGGATGAAAACAGGGCTGTAATAGGCCCCACGCTTGGGATGAAAGTTCCGGGTTTATGGAATTCAGGCTAGTGTAAAAACCCCGATGTTGGGGCTCTGCACAGGATTACAAATTGGAAAAGCGTAAAAAACTCATTCTTGGCAACTGCCGCGACATACACACATAGGAAATATATTTGGCAATCAGAGGTAAGACAGCCGTCAAGCTAGGACATGTCCCTTTCAGGTTGTTATTGTCGCGCACGCTCGCACTTTGAACTACAACTGCCCAAGCTCAACAATCAAAAGAGCTTGGCATTGTCAGATATTGCTTGGGGCATTGGCGGTGGGGGCTCGTGTTTTTGCAGGGCCCCATACATAGCCTACGACCGACGGGAACCCCAATACTCAGTATGTCTTCCCAATCTGAGGTGAACACAACCAAGACAAGGCTCCACAGCTGCTACCGATGTTGAGATCTAGTCCCTGCAAAATTCCCGAGTCTGGGACTTTAAAGTTCTATATGCTTAACCCTCAAATCCTGAAGCCTTTTGAAAGTCCAGCGTCTTGGTCCTGGGGCCGAGCCGTCTGCACAAAGAGCGCAGAAGAACCAGCAAACCGCTGCAGTTTGCTTTGACCTGGCAGGCTTAGGATTCAGGGTTGTGGGTGCTTAGGGCTGATGGGATTTACAACTTAGGGCTTAAGGTGCATGGGGCTTTAGGGCCTGGAGTCGTGCTTTGGTTAGCCGTTCCAACTGTTGGGTTCAGAGTTAAGTACTCGAATCTGCCAGCCAATGGGCTTGAGCATATTCTCAAACAGCTGATTGTAGGGATTGGGATTAGGGATGGGTAGCGAAATGTGGGGAGAATTGCGGGATCCGTGGTTTTTGGCAGCTGTGAGCTGAACATGCATTCAGGGCTTTGGGTAAGGACCAGCCGCGGATTACCAGTGGAAACCTCCAAGTGGCTGCTCAAATGGATACAGGGTTCATTGTACGTGAGTTGTAATCACAACAAGTTCTTGTTGTCCCACTTAGAATCCTGCCTGCTCTTGCGCCTCCCTGAGGGCTGAGCGCATTAAAGTGGGTGCAGCGAACCTCAAACCACTAAGCAATCTGACCTCAGACAAAAGTCTCTTTAGAAGATTGCGGCAGCGCATCAAGGTACAGCGGCGTGTGTCTGGGATTTGGGTTTTCAGCGGCGACCAGGCTTAGGGTTTGTTGTTCACGTTGTCGGTAGGCACACGCCAAGAAGCTCAGAAGCTTTGTCTTTTGCAGAGAAGAAGTGGTGGAGGGTCCCCATATGACCAGATCGCTCGCTATTATAATGCCTGTAACAGTAAGACATAAGCTTAAGCATCAAGGAACTCCTGCCGGCGCATCCAGGTCAATTGGGGGAGGGTTCCCCAAACCAATAGGAACTTGACCGGGCTGTTTCGGAACCATGCAATCAGTCAGAATAAGAGTCGTCTAGGGTCCTTTTCCAGAATCTGGTCCTGCTTAAGTGTCCTACATCAAATAATCCTGGCTGTGACTGGCTATGCAAACCCAACAGTGTGCAAAAGCATCCTCTGCAAAGCAAGATGGGAATCCAATTTCGCTGCGGTGCCTCTCGTGCTTACGGAGTCCTCTTATTTGGGACCCGTTTTTGAGATCCTCTGCGTCAGTTAAGCATTGAAGCATGAACAATGCTATCTGGGCTAGATGTCAGTCAAGGGCTCAACGCATAGCGAAACCCGAATGGCCTTCATGAATCCTCGCTTGTTTCAGGAGAAACAGGGTTCCATTGTGTTCGCACGGGTTCCAAAATTTAAAGTCTAATCCCAAATCCCCGCTTCAAACCGAGCCTGTGCTGGAGTGTAACCAACTAAAGCCAACTGCTCTAACCCTGTGTTGCGAGCACGGAGCACGGCAAAAGCTTTAAACCAGCCCTGCATCTTGATGTTGAACGTCCCCAGCCCTCCAATATTGCATATACATAGTTAGGGCACACACCCTTCCAGAGCTCGAAGTAATAGTGAGGTCTTGAAGGGCCTGCGCCAGGAGCTCTTCGATTGCACCGGTTCTGTAGCTGCACATACTGGCATACCTGGGCTGTAGCCACTGTGACCGAGGTCTTGAATGGGATCCGTCATTGATATTCTCCACGATCTTAGCCATCTATACTTGTAGTATTTCTTTTCGGATGGGGCCTTACGCGCAGTCACCCAAGCCAACAATTGCAGCGAACATCGCACAGTACACCTCCTGTCAACGTTGGGAGTCATGGTTCATCTGATTCCTGAACTTTCCTCAGCCCTAAATCCTCAAAGTCTCGACTCTATCCCTAGCAACCTTTTGCCACGGCCCCTGGTAAATGCCGGGAACCTAGAGCACTGCCAACAGATGCCGAAGGACAGCTGACGTCACGTATCTCTCTGCTTCTAGGGAATCGCAGTTTGCCACGAGTTCCTGGACGCCGTCCTCGAAATTCCTTCTCAAGTTCTGCGTTGTGGTGGGCGTGGTATTTCAGTGCTTACAATGCTTGTTATGCAACGCTATGGGTGGCATTCTGGGGACTGCAGAGCCACTGTGTATATGGCAGGCCTCTTAAGGCTTCATTACAGTTCTTGAGTTCGACGTGCTGGAAGTCGTATTTGGCCAAGACTGGCTTGGGCGAAAGCTGGTCTGCGCCTTGCGATCTCATGCAATCTCGTGCCAATCTCACTCAACAACACGCACTAAACCATTTGCCGACTGATGAACTTTGCAGCATGAGACCATGAACACAAGGATCCTCGCACAACAAGCATTTCGGGATTCCCACAGCTTCTTGGTGTTGTGTACTTGAAGAGCGAGACCACAAACTTCCGAATGCCGAGGTACTTCACAAAATATCTAGAACAGAAGTTTTCTGTTGGGGATTCTGTTGCAGCGTCCTCTACAGCCCAAAACTTATGATCCAAGAGTTACCTCCCACCGCGGCATTGCCTGTGGTATTGGCTCGCCAGTCCGCGGAAGTCATAGAGGCCGCTGCCTGTCAAACCGAAGATCTCAGGTACTAGTAGCTCCGCAAGCTGCTGGTGAGGCGTCTGCAAGTGTGCTACCCATTGGTCTAAGACCATTTCCTTGAAAAAACAGAGCTCTTGTAACACGGGCATCGTGGCCTGCTTTCTGTGGGGCTCCTCATACCAGGAATCTTCTTCGCAAATCTCGGTTTTGAGAGATTGGCTGGGGTTTAAGAGCAAGACGTTTAGGGAGGTCAAAATACACATGCTCGCTCAAGCCCAAGCCCTGGAAAAATCTGAGTAGCTGTAAGGTCTCCAACATGGTAATTACTTACTAAGGGCAGTCTCACTACATTGACTTGGGCCGATAAGTAATGCTTGGGATCTCTGAGTTTCGGAGTACTGGATCTCTACCTAGAAGGATTCCTTTTAAGCAGCCTGCTAAATGGAACCCAAAGCGCAAAGTTGTATCCCAAAGCACTGCCTCATGATGTCAGTTCCAACCCCGAACCCGCCTTGAACTTTGAAATCTCGCGTGCAAGCCTTTGCAAGAGGGTCCTGGCGCCCCAATCCTCACAGGCAAACCTTAACACTCAGATCAATATAGAAATGGCCCCGAAGACGTTCCTGACTTGTAGCCCGCCATCCACTTGCGACCGCTAGAATTTCCTAGAACACTTGAGGGTACCGTTGCCGAATGAAACCTCCACCTAAACCCTCCTGTCCCGACAAAACGGTGCTTGCCTGCGTGACAGTCAAGGATAGTGAGTGGCCCTGGCGAACTCTGAAGGCTCTGCAGCAGTGCAAGAAATGCCTGAGCTTCTTCTGATCACATAAGATGCATATGGAGTTCCGGGTCTGCGGCTGTTTCGGAAAGTGAAGGTTGAGCACCAAGCCCTGCTGAAAGTATCTGTGGTTTCCACAGACGATTCTTAACCCGTCCTGATTGAAAATTGTGTGGGGTCTTTGTATGAGGGATCTGAAGGCACTTTGCTCAGCCCTCGAATAAGATCAATGCCAACAAACCTTTCCTTCGTTCCCTTCAGATGGTAATGACAAACACGCGGGGCACAAGCGGGGTTTGGGATTCAGGGTTGAGGGCGAGCAGCCCAATCACCTTCATTACAAGAATCTCGACTTTCAGCGAAACCCTCTCCTCTCCGACCGACCACACAACTCGCTCAAACCAACCTAGGACAACATATGACTATCGGAATGGAAAGGATCTTAGAACCTATGGATGGTCTACGCGACAAAAATCTTTTGATCTTGCAGGAAATGAAGGTGACGCTGATTTCGATGAAAAGCGTCCATAGCATCTGCATGGCAGTTTCCCTGAATCGAAGGAAACGGTATGGACCTCAATACTATACACTATAATGCTTACTAAAGGGGCTCCGAAGAAAAGAGGCCCTAATTTCGGAACCCACTGCTTCAACTGCCGGGGCGCAACATGCTTGAAGCAGTCAACCGGATCTCCCGCTTGGTAAGCATGCACGTACGTATAGTGATCCCTTGGCTCTGGACGTGCTGTAACACGCTTCAAGGGTTACCTGGAGTTGTATGAGCAATTACTCATGAACCTCCAGGTACATGAGGCATGGCTCTTCCTGTGTGCTACCTGTGTCCAGTCCAGGAACTCGTGAAGAATGCTAAGTGCTAAGCGAGCGAACCTGCCATGTTGTTCCAATCAGGCTAACACTCATCTACGGCTGTGCATGTCTACGGTGCCAAATAAGATGGCGATTGACACTAGAAGCATATAACCTCTATTCCGTATGGTCATATCTCCAAATATGCAGGCCCCGTGGGGACCCCGGCTAGTTTATACTGGGTTTACAAGCGGGTCGTTAGCCTGGCCCGGTTTCCGGATGATACGGGGCTGATTTCGAGAACTACTTGCACGTCTTACTGGCAAAACTGCAAACTTTGAACTAGAACTATTTAAAATCAATGACTCCCAGGACTCGTAGGATCCCATACTGTCTCCAAATCCGTGGACACATATGAGGGCTGGGAAGCACCAAGAGCAAAGGCGAGGTGCAAGTTATCCGCATGCATGTCATCCTGGACACCTGGTGAGAGATGACCCTATGCCTAAGATGTAGGGTTCAAGGGTCAACGAAACGCTCTACCGGGTTTCTGGACTTCCATGTTTAGGCCCTCAACTCCCTCGGCCAAGCCCTAATATCCCAAACACCACTTGGCAAGAAGAAGCCAGTCTTTATGCTTCCCAGCATGTGCAGTTTGAGGACTGTTTAAGGCAGAGCTCCAGAGGAAATTTGATTTCAATGTTCTTTAACGAAGGGGTGCGGTGCTTGGTCGGGCTTCCAAAGCCGGATGAACCAGAGTTGTTGAGACTGAGGGTCCCTGGATTTACGTTTAAAGGTCAAAGGCTTATGCTCTGCAAACTTATCGTGAACAATGCTGGCAAAATCGGATGATAAGGTCCCTCACTGGCTCCGCCAAACTGCACAGTAGGCAGCCACCCTCAAACAAGCCCTTTGTGTTCAAAGTCTGTTTCACAAGCTTCGCCAGCTTCACTGCCGAGTCAACCCTTCTGCTTAGCTGCAGGCAGATGCAAGTGATGAAAGCACACCCGTAAACTTCGGCCGAAGGGTAGGGTAGGCTTTCACGGCCTGCATGGCTGTAGAAATGGGATCTTTGCGCCCTAGTTACTTGGCACTGCAAACGTAGGGGCACCTGCTTTCCACAGATCCCGCAGCAGCAGCAAGGCTCGAGACCACTCGCCACAGGTTTCACACGCTTGGATAGCCTGAAAGAACTGCTCAAAACTGGCATCTAGGGCTGTGGTGCGGTTGCCATGCAGGGTTTAGTTACTGCCTATGTTTATAGTTATGTCAAGGATTGGAGAGGTAGAGTGTTTTGGCAATAGGGGGCGAGGAATTTCCTTGAAATAGAATGAGGGACGCGCAAGTGTTCAGACCACTGTGAGTTCTTGAACAAGCTCTTCGTAAAACCTCTTGTCAAACCCTGACCCTGGACATTGAATCCTTGGATGCTGAATGATTCCAAACCCATCTATGAAAGCGCACAAGCCGTGGACCCTGAGACCCTGAAACCTCAACCGTTAAATGTTACAATCTTTAAGCCCCAAGCCTGGCACCTCTAAACCCAAAGACTTTCAACCCTAAAAGCAGACACTTGAACCGTAAGCCCTCAATTTTTTTAGAACAGTCAACCCCAGGCCCGTCACCCAAACCCGTGCACCCTTCGATCTCCAAGGCTCCGGCTGTGTAGTATGAAATCCTGTCTCGCTGCACGCTCGACCTCATACGGGCTTCGGGCTTGATATTCTTGATACTGGTCTGGAGAGTGTGCGGCCGGGGCAAAGATGTGTCAGGTTTGCAGTTTCAAGCCTTCAAGGTTCTATAGATCTAAATACTTGGGTTTAGACTTTACTGTAAAATTTATGGGCATCGATCTGCGTGTAACTAGAATCAATGTCGAGGGCTCCACAGGAGTTCTTATGGGAGGGCGTATGTTTCAGAGTTGGCAGAGACTGCAAGGCTCCTGAATGCCTACCTCCACAACCTGTAGTCTGAGCCCCGAAAGCTTACCTTGGTGTTTGCCCACTGAAGTGCGGCCTGACATGCATTCCATGAATCTTGCGGGTTTCGGCACTTGCTAAGCTCCGGATCCCATTCCATGCGACCGAAATTGAGGACAACCCCACCCGATAGAACTGAGGATTGTTTGCGTAGAGCCTATAAGCCCCTTGGCAGACTACGCAACATTACTGAGTAGCAGCCCTTGCGAAGAAAATGGAAACTCACAATCCGAAGGGCCCACTCATCACAACCATTATACTGGAGGTTCTTACTAGCAATTCTGTCCTCGCATTCTATAAGGCCATGTTTGCAGTCTTCAACCCAGCCAAGACATTTTGGAACAACCCAGCAACCTCGCCCAAAATCCACATAGATACCAAGATAAACATCCCTCCCACTGTCCGATGAAACTAGTTCACCAAAGTGAACCCTCCGTTCGCCACGCGCTCTCTGTTAGTGCAGTACCACTTTCTAGTATTAGCAGCTTTTGAAACATGCTCAGGTCCAGGTGGCGTGCCGATCTGATCTGC